CCTAGAATTATTTTCTTGAGAATTGCAAATTATTATGTTTGATTGGTATGATTTTCACACGTGGAAAATGTTGAAATAAAAGTATTTTTTGGTGTACGTTTGATTTTGTTGTACATGAAAATTGTCAATTAAAGAGATAAATTTTATAGATATTGGAAATTAAATTTGTTTCCATTGCCAACACAAAAAAAAAATCAAGAAAATCATCCATCTTTCGATATTCGTTTGATTTTGTTTTACATGAAAATTACCATTTAAAGGGAAATATTTTTATACAATAATTCTTAGAATTTGTTTCCATTGTCAACAAAAAAAATAAATAAAATAAAATAAAAATGCTACAATAGGTAGGAAAACCAATTTCCCACCATATATGGTAGGAAAATCAAGAAAAGTGCAAACTTCAAGACAACCAAGAATTCGAATTCCATGGAAAAAATGTATCAAACACCTAAAGTTGGAAAATTCAATTCCAATTCCAATTCCAATTCAATTTCCACCCTATTAGACACACCCTAAATTGAAATACTGTCATGTCACCTAATTTGAAACTTTATTGACATGTATTATATTTTATTTTGATATTTGTTTATCAATTAGTTAGTATTTGATTGTTGCTTTTTTTTTTTTCCATCAAAAATGGAATTTGATTGCCATTTTCCAACTTTTGCTTGTTTGATAGGGTTATTTTTTTTCATGGACTTGAAGTTTCCTTTTTTCTTGATGTTTGTTATTTTCTTAGATTTCTTGGAATTCCTCAATACCAATAAATTCTATCCATTTAATTGACAATTTTTAAGTAAAACAAAGTCAAACGAATATCAAAAAATAATTTTATTTCAACATTTTTTACATGAAAAATTATACGAATCAAACATAATAATTTACAATTCCAAAGAAAATAATTTCTAAGTAATTCAATTCCTTGGAATTCGTTTTCTTTCCACTCAAATTTCATATTTGCAATTAAACGGATCCTTAGTTGTCGTATTTAATATTTTTCAATCATGTCTAATTAATCTTATAAAAATATTCTTTTGTTTGACTTGTGAACAATGTTCTAAAATGCTTAACACATTGCTGTCGAGTATCAAACATTACAAGCATATGTATGCATATATAAAGCATATCTGTAATTATGCATTTTCGAATTTTTAATATTAATTTAAAATTCTAAACTAATAAATAAATAAAATAATGCATTTTTTGAACTTTATATTTATTCTTCAAAATTTCAAAATTAAAAAAAATTGTTAAAATCATAAATATTTCAAATTTTGAACTTTATACACACTCTTTCAATTTTTCATAAAAACATATTACTCAAAATCATAAATATTATAATTGCTTTTAATCAATTCATTCAATTAGATTAGACACGAATACCAGCTTAAAAAAAAAATTCAATTCATGTCTAACTCTTATTTGATTCTAATTCAATCTCTTTTTCATTCAAGTCATCTCAGGTGTCATGCAATGTAAAATCATCTTTATTGGATTCCTTTATTTCAACTCGATAATTTCTCTTACCACTTGTAGATGGTAAGATATAATTTTCAACCTCATCCTCATCATTATAACCATCAACAATCCAAGATTGTGCATTACTAGCAAATTAGATGAAGATCAAAAAAGACAGAGGTTCACACTCGACGTAGATAGTTTGCAACTTTACAAAAAATTTGTTTCAACTTTTTATTTTTTTAAATGTCCGAAATCTTAAAAACGGCTATATGTATTTCATGAGCTAGGTGATTTGGACTAATTTGATGTTTGTTGTGCTTAATTTTTACTTTTTTTTTTACTAAGTTATAAAAATAACATGAGTTTTGTTAGGCTAATTTTGACACAAATTTTAACATAAATGTGTATGCATTTTGACGTTTAAGCATGCATAGGCTATCAATAAAATGGGTTGATCGTATTATCACGTGCATATACCATATGAGACACGTTTCGAAAAACCCTTGAGCATGTGCAAGTATATGTAAAGTATATGCGTGTATTTTAGAACACTATTTTTGAGTTATGTAAAGATTATAGCATTTTATCATTTTCACAATTAGTTTCAAAAATATTATGTAATTACCATTATTTGTTTCTTACAGACAAAAATTAAGACACGTAAAGTTTTGCTTAGTAGTTTAGTGATATAGAAAAATAATAATTGTTATTATATATACTTGACTGTATGCTTATTTTCCATCATGCATCTTGTATCTGTACCTATATATCTAATTTTCCACTAGTGTCTGGTACATGGAGTTAACCAAAAGTAGCAATGGATGGGGTTTTCAATAATAGCAAATATGTATTTCTTTTTCCCTTTTCCTTTTCAATTATGATATATATGCAGGAAAAGGAAAGAAACAGCAAAAGGGTTTTTTTTTTTTTTTTTGGTGGGGGTGGCGTGGGGGTGTAAGAGAAAGTCTTCGTCTTTGCCACAATGCATGATGATAAACCTAAAAAAAGAGACCGACGATAAATAAATTCCTAGTACTATCCTCTGTCAAACCTGTCTCTGTCTCTGGTGGATTTTCTTTTCTTTTCTTTTCGTTTTTTTCCATATTCTCTCTCCCTCACCCACACAAAAAAACATATTCATTTCTTTATGCCCTTTTCCAGGCATATTTTGACCTCTCATCTGCAACCAATAGGTTTTCTGGGTTTTTTTCCAAATTTGTAAGATATCCCTTTTTACTATATTACACCAATCTTGCTTTCTTTGTTCATTTTCACATCTTTTATTTGTCAATTTTTCTCAATACTTGTTTTATAGGTCAGTCCTATCTCCTTTTTTATTTCCTCTTCATCTCACTCAAAGAATCTTTGTTTCAATTCATACCTCTGATTAACTTCTGTTTTGATATTTGCTTCACAATTAGGTGTAGAAATGGCGAGGGGAAAGACTCAGATGAGGCGCATAGAAAATGCAACAAGTAGGCAAGTGACCTTCTTCAAGAGAAGAAATGGGCTTCTCAAAAAAGCTTTTGAACTTTCAGTCCTATGTGATGCTGAGGTTGCAGTTTTAATCTTTTCTACCAGAGGCAAACTCTATGAATTTTCCAGTAAAAGGTAAGCTCTCTCTCTCTCTCTCTCGCTCACTCACAGTTTCAATCATGGGAGGATCGCTATAAAGAGCGTTACACCCGTGAAATACTGATTGCTTGTGGATCCATGTAAATTGTGTGAAAGAAAGATGATCTAAATTTGAGTCTCTCTCTTAAATTATAGATGTCTACCAGGCTTTTGCTACCTGTTCATGCTTAAATAAAAACTACTTTTATAGAGAGCAACAATTACATAATAGATTCAATTAAGGGTGTGTTTGAGCCCCTTTAATTTTGAAAAATATATTATGGAATAGAAGATTGATGAAGAATGTATGGTTAAAAAAAAGGAATTTTTTTTATTTACGGATAATATTATTTTAATGAAAATGTGTAGTTGAAAATGAATATTGTAGCAAAAATAATGTGATAGAATATAAAATAATGGTTGACAAACATGGACTAAATGCAAAGTTATACAACTTATTTAATTGAACCTATAGTAATCTATATTGATGCTCTATCACTATTGATACTAGATAGTATTATTCAATTTTATATTGTTCATCTCTTTTTATAGGAGTATTAATGAGCACTAATACTTGTGAATTTTCATATATTTAATTTATACATAGTAAATTTGAACCAAACCTTGATACTCATGGAAATAAAGAGAAATCTTAAAAAAAAAAAAAAAAAAGAAAGAAAGAAAAATGAACACGATGAGTTTCACGTGATTTATCCAACCACTGCATTAGACATTGGACTTGGTTTGGTTTAATTGGTGCGTCTATAGTGAGGTGACAAGATTGTGGGCCAGATATAAAAATTCTAAGACAAATATCTTGTACTGTACATCTTGATATTATTTTTAATTGAGATTTTGAATAGCATGATATACACCATGATGTGTATTCAACTCCATAGTTGTACTTGTAGTTTAATACTGATGTTGCTCATAGGAAGTAGTGAAATAGATATTTCGATACCTTAGAGGGACAATTGTTTATATGCTTTGCTATCAAGCATCAAATTTGCAAGTGGCTAGCAAGAATAACGTTTACTTGAGAAGTAACTTGGTATATTGCAAATCGATATCTTCTTATGGGTTTTTGTTTAGCGATGGTGCCATTATCAGTTATGGAGTTAAGAGTACATTGCTTGCTGTATCTCAATCCAAGAATATTTTTGGTTCAAAAGTATTGTCATAATAGCTTCACAACCTACTATATATTGGAATAGCATGGTGCTCATGCTTATGTAAAGGACCCCAATTATCATGGAAAAATGAAACGCATTCACTACTAAAAAATAGAGTTTCAGCCACAGATTTTCCGTTCCTAAAGCCTCAATATCCGTTGCTAATAATTTTCATCAACTGAATATTTGCAGCCACAAATCCGTTGGTAATTTCAGGGTCGCTGATAGTTATCAACGGATCATGCCGTAGATAAAGAATAAACATTTTACCAACGGATTTTCCGTTGATAAAGTGTGAATCTTTTACTAACGGAATTTCCGTTGGTAAAAGTTTTAACCAATACCAACTGACTTTCCGTTGGTAAATGTCTACCATTACAATTTGTAAAAATCAATATTGTAAATTACCGTATGGTAAAAAAGTTATTTATTTATTTATTTATTATTATTATTTAATAATTATAATATTTTTTATTTTTAGCCAACTGAATTGAAAGGTCAAAATATTGTTTAACTTCTTATTGGACCACAAATTTATAGAGTGCAACTACAATGATATTGTTGTAAACTTTCGATGTGGGATAAGTGAATTATTTTTACCAACAGATAATCCGTTTCTCATTACCAATGGAATATCCGCTGCTGAAATATTAGAATGTTAAACGGTTATATTAGGCACGGAATATCCGTTGGTAAAGAGATATCATTTTTACTAACGGATAATTTGTTTCTAATTACCAATGGAATATCCATAGGTAAAAGATCAAAATGTTAAACGGTTATATTAGGCACGGAATATCCGTTGGTAAAGAGATATCATCTTTACCAACAAAAAATTCGTTGTTGATTATTGTAGCTAAAAGTGAATTACTTTTACCAACAGATAATCCGTTTCTAATTACCAACGGATGCAATCCGTTGGTAATATTCGGTACATCACCTACGGAATATCCGTTGGAGAAATATCCAAATGTTAAACGATTACATTAGGCACGGAATATCAGTTGGTAAAGAGATATCATCTTTATCAATGGAAAATCCATTGCTAATTATCGTAACTAAAAGTGAATTACTTTTATCAACGGATAATCCATTGGTAATTTTCCGTAGGTGAAAAGCTGTTTTTTAGTAGTGATTGACATAAGACAATTTTGTATGAGACATGGTTGCACAAATTAAATCACATTGTCTTGGAGTATATATCTTTGAATCGTATGGTTGTTGATCATCTTAAATGTTGATAGTTCTGGTTGTTTATCGAGTTCATGTTAAGAGTTTAGGAATGCGTAGAACATGATTAATTTATTCTTTTGAGTTGACCATGACATTGTAATTTGGGATACTATCTATAGAATAAATGTTTTCTTAGTCCGTGTTTTGTTGTGACACGATATTCCTCATTACACACATAGTAAGTTATCTCAACAGCCATAGATAGACTGACTTCACCTTTAATACTAGGTAAGCGAGAAAAGATGAGACATATTAGGCTAATGCTGCTGGATAGTGAGCTAAGCAAGGCTTACTTGAAATGTTAGTTGGAGCTAAAGATAAATACTGTTCTTAATCTATCGAAAATCAAAATTAAAAATGAAAATTTTCATTAGGTTTTCTGGTGCATCGCATGGATAAAGGAAGTCTTATTATTTAGTTTATGTTGTTTCATTTATTTATTATCTTAATGTATTGTACTTGAAGGTTGTATCTATATCTTAATAGTAGTTCGGGAACTACGGGATAATTTTAGTTAAAAATGTCTTTAGGTTTTGTATAAGTTTACCAACCGCGACGGTAAGTATGGCCTTTGTTTTGACTGGAAAATTAATAAATTGTGAGATTTTTCTTCAATCTCGATTCAATTTTCAGTATTCATGTTCAATCTCTTGTTCTTGTGCTTTACTTGCTTCTGCTACCAAGGAGATTACCAGACACTCGCAAGCAAGTCCTGGATATTTTGATCAAAGGGTCGTGGAATCCAAGGTAGCCATGGAGTGCACTTATGCGATGAGGGAGTCACGACAATAAGGCCACGGAGCAGAGGATGTGCTAATATAGGCATGGTTGCAGGGACAGCGACCTGAATATATGGATTCATTGTGCTGGAAAGATGGACTTAAAATCGAAAACTAGAGCTTGATGGCATGTTAGAGGAGGAAGAATTTTTTTTTTAATTGGTCTATGTGGTTTGTTAAATCAAGAAATATCCTCTACGAACATTTTCTCCGCTTATGAAGCTTGAGTGATATGTGGGGGAACAAGAGCAAAAAAGCTTCTCTCAAAGTTTCCCCATCTAGGCTGGCTAAAAGTCGTTGCTAAGACACATAGCCAACGAATAAAACGTGATACTCAAATAGAATCAATTGCAAGCTAGCTAATAAGGGACTGTCATCTGTTATTTACTCCAAATGATTGAATTACCCAAAAACCTGATAGAAAATCTATAAGTATTCTCACCTCAGAAGAAAAATGCATGCACAATTTAAACATCTTTCTCTCAAATAGCCATTTTCCTTCTTGCTTCGATTTGAAAATCAAAATCGGTGAGTATACGAGGTGAAAATCTTGGCTAGGTGAAAAGAAGTTGTTGATCTGATTTTCATCGTCAACAAATTGGAAACATTTATCTATAGAAAAGTAAACCACGAAATATAAGGAAATGAGTCAAATAGAGGAGAAATCAGAAGAAATGAAAACACTAGAGGTTGAAACCAGAGAGTGCAGAAACTGTCCGATGGATAGCGATATAATCCTAAAAGGCAACAAGAGGAACCTCCAACAAGAATATAAGCCAGCATCTCCCACTTAAGGAATACGTTCACGGCTAAAACCATACAAGAAATGGCAGAAAGCCTAAAAACTCTGACAGCAGGGAATGCATCTCTGCAGGCAAAGGTTGAAAATACAAAGGCTAGTGTGCATGGTGGGTCTGGAGAAAATGAAAAAAGGTAGATACAATTGAAAAAGGTAGGTCTGACACTCGAGTGTCAAGATTTTCATTTGATGTTGGATAGATTTGCCCAGTGTTCGTATAACAAGCTATCTCGTTAGGGTAAATTTGGAGCTGGCCAGAGTTAAAACAAGCCTTCCTTGGGACATTTACAGGTAGTAGGATGGACAAGCCACGGCTACAAAGTCAAATGATATCAAGACTCCCTTTTAGCGGGATGTCCATAACAAGAATCCAATATCCTACCACTAGTTTGTAAGTTTGATACAAAATGAAATCTAAACGGAGGACACCATAATGAATAGAAAAAAATAGAGTAGGGGTGAGCTCTCAAGGGAAAACTACGACATATGTACCCACGCTACCTAAACAGTAGGACCCGGCCTCAACGAGAACAAAGGCGAAGTACATGCTATCTCTCCAGCTCATTCTCAAATGGCAGGCGAAGCACCTTTATCTCCTGAAAACCAAAAGGTAAAATTTTGCAAAACGCACTGTCGTGTGGATCATGACACGGATAAATGCTTCAAGATAATGAAGATGGCAAAGCTGAAAAAGGTTGCAAGGCAGACGAATGTAGCATTCTAAAGTTGAAAGTCCTCATACTCAAGCGATAAAGGGCGAGTTCACAGAAGTGGGCCAAGGTATGCAGATTCATTGTGAGTTCAGACAAACAACCCATATTTTCGATCTCCAACGAGAGAGATCTATCTTATAATTGGAGGAACTATGTTGATGGAGACACAAAGAATACCAAAAATAATTATACTTGAGCGCTAAAAAGTCCACACTAGAAAACTTTTGGATCGAGGTAATCCTAAAACTCTCTCTCTTCTAATTATCCTTAATAGTGATTATGAGCAAGCGATCATATATCC